CCAGTGTTCAGACAACCCTTGTGCATTTTCCACCCCAACTGTGCAGGTGGCCGTTGAAAGCCTACTTGAAAATCCTTTATACATATTTAATATTCAATCTTTTCCTCCAGTGAACCCTAATTGATAAACCTGCTGAGGTGTCCAAAGCCAGAAACTGAACAACAGTAACTGCATTCCAAGCGAGGTGCTAAAACAACTATGCAGAGTTTGAGAAGGATGTGAATGGAGAATAGTTCTGTGATCCCTGGCTTCCTACGCAGCTCGAGGGTCTAAAATGGTTGAAAATTAAGCACCTGGGAGTTGGAAATTGGATGATTGAGGAAGAATTTTGAAAGTGCGCTGACATTTTTCTGTCCCATTAAGATGGAGCCAGGTATAAGCAGATTCGAGGAAACCACTTTGAGAATTTTACCTTCAGAGAATATAGGAAACTGGGTTTGGACCCATGCTTGAAAAGCTATGAGTGGAACTGCATGCCACAGATGCTGGCTCCACTGGTCACAGAGTTTCTCCCACTGGTGATAGTGTGAGATACACATTTCACGGGGACTAGATGATGGTCATGTGGGAAAGCCCCAATCTGATGCCAGCTTACAGGGATTTTGTACAACATGGTGCCTGAACAGTCAGTGAGACTCGACAGAGGTAGGGTTATATGTTCCTTTAAGCCCCAGACCAGCAGCAAGCCTGAAGTCCAATGATCATTTACAATATTGCTTCTTGCAAAATTATGGCTTAAATTCTTACTTGATTCTAAACACATTTTTGAATAGTGTATTATTTATTGGTGATTCCTTTTATATAATTTGTATTTCACTTTTTCTGCAAGTCTGCAAGGTCTATTCTTACTTTTCCTTCCTTACCCATTCCTTTAGTCCTTAGAATAAATTTCAAACTTCATTTACTTAACTCTCTTCCAGGCCACTGATAAGTTAAGCAGAGAGGTAGTTCTACTCCATTTCAGTAATCTTCATTTGACTAATTGTATTTTCTACAGCTGAATTTGAATAGAGTTCAAGTTTCCAAATAATCAGTTTTGACCTCAAAAAATAACTTTACCAGTCGTGAGTACATTGAAAAGAATATGCTGTTGGAGTTAAAGTGCCTGCAAAATGGAATTCTAAAACACTTTCTTGTGGATGGCCACAATCTAAGAGGAGTAGTGGATTCTTATTCTGGTGACTATTTTGAAGGACAGATATGTTCCTTTACATGTATAACTTGTGGGTTGTTTCCTTTTAAAACTCTTCAAGTTCTTTAATTATTGGTCAATCCTGATTCAATTAACTTGTAATTCAGTTCCCCAAATCAAAACCTCTGTTTTATTTTTTCTACCACATATTCAATAATTTTGTGCTTTACTTGATCACTGAATTTGAGTTAGACATGATAAAGCTTAAGCAATAACATTAATATAAGTAGATTAGATCTGAAACCTATGTAGTGCTTTGTGCCTTTCAATGTAATTTTGTAGATATTATTTTTTGACAGCGAATATAAAGTTGTGCATAATCATGGGGAAGCTTCCGACTGCAAATCAGCAAGTCTCTTGCAGAAGCATCCAGAGGAGTAGGCAGGGTCTCAGGTAGGAATGACTCACCGGGGAAGGACTCCAAAGGTAAGTGGGGATTCAGGAAGTGGCCAGTGCAAACCATGACAGCATCAAAGACAGCTCTGGCCTGCTTGCCCTCTGTCTCTGTGACAACAGCCCACCGCCCAGTTTCCGAGAAGCCTGGACACCTTGTCACGCTGCGCACAGTAGTCTGCAAGGAAAGGACAAACAGTTGTCAGGTGCAGTAGTACACAGCTATAACCCAGCGCTCGGGAGGCTGAAATAGGAGAATCACTAGTCTGAGGCCCTCTGGAGCTACACAGCAAGCTCCTGTCTCAAAAAGCAAACCAAGCCAAAACAAAACAAAAAACAAACCCAAACAACAACAGCAACAACAACAAAACACCAAACAAGAGGTTTACTTCCTATCATAATCTTTGAACCTCGGGCAATGACTGACACGGTATCTTTATTAGTTACTTTAAATATACCATATCTTGTATTAGGAGGCCAATAAATATTGCTTTATCTTGTTCCAAGAAAAGTCAAGGAACTTGTACAAACTCTTATGGGCCAGAACCCAAGACATGAGAATCACTTCATAGGAAAGAAGAAAGACTCACTTTTTGTTCCTTCTGAGAAGGAAATGAGTTAAAATATTTGATACATTAGAAAAATTTAGGAAAATGAGTGTGCTGAATTGTAATTTCTGCTGGTTCAGACTTCTAGTTACTTTTCATTGGCTTCTTTAGTTCTGAGAAAAAAAAATTCCTAAATTTCATGTTCAGTGACAGTTTAGCATTTAAAGGGGAACCAGGAAATCCAGCATTTTAATGATTCATTGGGGTAAAACATGAGCAGGAGGAGTGAGGGGACTTTGTTATCTGCCTTATTTATGGAGAGAAAAAATCAAGGAAAAGGTCACATAAACATGTCATTTTTATTAGACTGCTGAAGAGGCCAGCCCTCATTTATTAACCTTCCAAAACCCATAGTATCTTACCTTGAACTCAATGTATTTGAGGAGACCAAAGTGCTTAGCAAATTCCTCAGATAGTTCCAAAACTTCCCATGGCTCATGAAGTTGGGATAATCTTCTTGGAAAGGAAAGTCACTATAACTTGACATTTCCTTGCAGACATTTGCTACTAATGACTTGTAGACCTTGGTGGTCCCATCTTTGGACTCCCTGTGGTGAAAGTGTAGCTAGCTTCACAGAATGGAGGAGATAGGTGCAAGTGAACAGAAACTTTGCCAGCCCAGCTGGAAGGCTTCCCACTAGCTGGTAGAGTTCTATTTGTCATTTTAAAGACCTTAGAAAACCCCATAGTAGGTCCCCATAATATAATGATGAGAAATCATTAGTGGGGTTGAAATAAATACAGTATCTTTCTCAAACCACAAAGAAACAAATGGAATGAGCTGCTCACACTGATCACATTTATCTCTCACTGATTCCTTTCCCCACTAAACTGTGGGGAAAGGAGGTCAGGGTTTGTGTCTGTATTGTGTACCTCTGTGTCCTGGCAGAAGGATATGAGAAATACATACTGAATGAATAGCATCACTTTGTTTTGTTTTGTTTCATTTTAAAATAGCATTTATATGACTGGAAAAGATTATGTTGAAATTTTAATAATCCTGAGCTGTAGGCATTGTTATTACAGTGAATTTTTATTTTCACATATTTAACTCAGCACTGTTTTCTAAAATTAATATATATAACATTAGGGTAAGGAAAAAGATATCAAACCAAATTTAGATTTACCTGTAGCAGCAGCTATGCAAACTAAAGCCAGTGATTTCTTTTTATATTGACATTTGTTGCCTGAGGATCCTCGTAGTGTACCAGAAAAAGATTTCTCTCTCCACTCCATTGTCCTAGCATTGTAATCCTAGAATTTTGGCTATTTCTGCCTACATAAATTCGCTTATTTTGTTTTCTTTGTTATCCATCTAAGATTCAGCAAGGGTCATCTCTTCCATGAAAGTTTCCATCATTCATACCAGTCAAATGGATGCTGCTTTTCTATCTCCCCAGGAAGGATTTGATACTTTGCCTGGATTCCATCTTCTGACACCTTCTTACCCAGCACTGGGGCAAGTCCCTCCATTCCCAGTGAATACTTTGTTGCTCCTAGAAATGATCAGTCCTGGCCAGAGGTAGATAGAGTTTAACCACTTCCTGACCCACTTTCTGATGTCCAAGTCATCCGACAGCTGGCCTGACCATGAGAAATGTCCCCTGGGCTTTATATTCTACTTAAGAAGATTGGCTAGTTCTTGAGTTCTTTTTACTCTGATAATGTGGAATCTCTTCTCCAACCCTTCTAAGGTCTGAGGTTCTCATTCACTCTTGCTAGTTCTCTTCCCAAAGCACTGACAAGGCTTGTGGGTTGGATCTCCACTCCCTGATGCCAACTACCATTTTTACTGAAACTCCTGTGGCAAGTATCAGCCATCCACCCTGCAATATGGCACATGGATGAAAAGAAAGACAAAGGGAAAACTTGCAGTTGAGGCTCTGGGATGACCCAATGCTTTCTGTGGAACAAAGGGCCATGAGTCCAGGAGCTCAAGGCTTTTGCTGGTATAAATCAGGGAAGTAGGTGGAGATTGCAGCAGAATGCGTGGGAAGAGAAACTTTGCAGGCATGGCTATAAGGAGAAACAGAGTACTTTTGTACCAGGGACAGAGGCCCTCCAGTTAGTGGTACAACAGATAGCTTGATGTAAGCAAGGCTGGCACTTTTATTGCTAGGAAGGTATAATTCTTTTTGAGTCCAATGGGCCCAGCTGAGATGTCATCTCATGTCGTAGCCCTGGAGTCTCACAGGTTCTTGATGGAGCCTCTATTCCAACCATAAGCAGGGGCAATTCTGACCTGCTTTGCTATCCTGAGAGTCGCTGGCACCTTGGCAGGGCACTATCACATTCTTTTGGACAATTAAGGGAACATCTACTTCAGTATAGCCAGCTCTGCACATCTCAGGAAAGAGGGTTGAAGTAAAGGTCAGGTAAAGGTCTTGGCAAGGGGCTTCATTGCTCAGGGGAATGCAACTTGGTGATCTCTCACACGTTTTCCCTGGGGTAATCTACTCCATATTTACTAATGCTGGTCAGCTCAACTCTGCTACTTTGTTTTATTATGTCCATGGCCCAGAAATCATCATAAATTTCCAACATTGTTTGTCTGTCAGACTTAACTCCTTCCTCTCCCTTTATACCTCAGACCATGCCCTGTCTATTCCCGCGGCTCCTCACTTATCAGACTGCGACTGCATAGTGCCTATCGCTGCACCACGCACACGTCCGTTCCTGCGCTGCAGTGAGCCACTCCCTTCCTTGGTCACCAAGGCAGGCTGAAGCCACCTGACTGGGCAGAAACAGAGCGACTGGCCATATTAGGACTGAGGGAGATGGGTGCGGGGAAGGCATGCAAGGTGAACTTCCACATTCCCCCGAAGTCGTCGCTTCTCTCAAAGCAGGTGGGCTCCAGGTCCTCATCCAAGCAGCATTTGATGGAGGACAGGCCGCTCACCCCGGCTCCAATCACCGCCACTCTCTTGGCCATGGGACGCTCTGTGAGAGGAAGGTCAAGTAGCGCTTCTTTATATCACAAGGTTGGCACAGAGCCTGGACACAGAGTGGGCTTGGGTAGTGCTAGAAATACTCTCCTACATCTTTGAGTGGAGGCTGAATCACATTTTTGCTAAAAAATACAGGTTCTGAGATCCAATTGTTTTGGTTTAAGTATTGACTTTGTGACCCATTAACTGTGTTATTTTTAGACTCACCTTTTATTTTTTCTGTGCCTTGCTTTTCTCACCAGTAAAAGGACCCAATAATAATAATAATAATAATAATAATAATAATTAATAATAATAATAATAATAATAATAATAAATACTAGAGTTGTGAAGACTAAATGATTGCTATATGTTGGAAGAACTTTAGAAACTTAATGGTTACATAGTAAGAGTTCAGTTTAATTTACTTATTATTTATGGTGTAGCCTGTATCTTCAGCTCTTGGGGATAGATCCTCTCAGTACTGAAAGAGTTCTTTTGCTACTCTCTTGCCTCTCTGAATTCTAGGAATTGCAGTCAATGAAAATGTTCTTTTTTAGTCAACACATCTAGAGTCTTACAGAATAACTGATCATGGCCATGTCTTGCAGTACACTGAGGATATTACATGTAGAAGAGCGCTAGGGTTCTTTATCTTGTACAGAGGCAAAACTGACCATAACAGTCTCAAAAAAGTCACATGAGACATTCTGGAGTCCAGTATGAGGTCAAATGGAAATAATGATGCTTATGCTTGGTAGTGGAGCATGTATATGTCATGGGAATTAGAATCCATTTGTAAAAGTTTTATAATTTGGGCTTCCAGATACCCCAGTATAGCATTTGGCTGATCTGAGGAGATACTCATTTAATTTCAGTAAGTTGGGTTTACATCATGCTAAGGCTTTTGGTGTGTCAAGTGCACTTAGTTGTAAGTGCTGTTTTCCCTGTAACCTTCTTGGCCAACCCAGAAAACACACAAACAACAGTTGCTCTCAATGTATTTGTTTTACAAAATGTGTTTAACTGATTTGACTTTGCTTGTGAAGATGTAATATTTTCTGAAAAGACATCTAGCTATATAAAGCCAGTGTGATTTTTGTAATTGCATGTCACTTATCATAGTGATATCTGCTTTGGAGAACCAAGAAAGCAAATATTTATGAGCTTCCTGCACCAGCACATGGGAAAAATAGCATCATCATTCATCATAACTGAAGAGCCTGAGGTATCTGGTTACTTCTGTCACTAAGACTTTGCCTTTGCAATGGCAAGCAGAAACACTGAAACTACGTCCAGAATTTGGAGGCAGATTTACTTACATTGATGGGCACTGACTGGGATCACTCCCAAAATATAAGGCCCTGATTTCTTGTGGTCTAGGGCTTTTATATGATGCACAAGCAGGAGGTACAAAGGCAAGACAGAACAGCCTGGCAGTTCTTCTGATGAGCTAGCAGGGTGAGCTTATCGATTACAAGGGTAGATTAATGATCATTAGTTTATTATGCTGGGTAAAATCAGGCATCCTGTATGTTTGGTTATTCTCTTGTGGTTATAAGGCTCAAGAAAGTAATTACACTCATGAGTATGGTCTCTAGTTGCATCTATTTACCTACAGAAGCCTCGAGTTTATCTTTTTTAACAGCTGAGTAATACTCTATTGTATAAAAATACCACAAGTTTTTTATCCATTCTCAGTGGATGGGCATCTGGGTTGTTTCCAGTTGTCTCCTTGGTGTAGGAACCTGAAAGACTAGGTAAAACTCAAAATGTACACTAGATGATAGGAAAGGGAAAGAAATTGCTTGAAGGAAGGAATGACTGGGATGAGGGAAAGAAGAAAAAATAAAGAAGGAAGGCAAAACATAAATATATATATGAATAGCTGCAATGAGTGTATTGCTGTTGTCTGATGGTGTACTGAAATGAACAGTTAATGCTCACAATTTCTCATGCTCTGACTCACTTTGCATGCTTGTGTCTGGTGGTCTGAGCAACTGATTTGAAGGTAACAATATGCAATGGAATTACAATGGTGAACTCCTACTATCTTGTCTAGTGAAACTCTGTATTATCTCTAATGTTTTATTGAAGAATTATTTTCTTATTCTCTTTAATGGCTTGAGCAATCTTTCATTCTTGCATCTGCTAATCTGAGCAATATAGTTGAGGATGGCGATGTGAGGTGTAACAACCACTGTTGATTTGTATTATTTTGTCTTGAGACCCTGTATCACTTTGAATGTTCTTGCTTTGATTTGTTTATGTTCATGATACTGGTATGCTGCTATTGTTCTATTTTTTTGTTTGTTTGTTTCTCATGTATTACTCGCTTTAAAATAAAAAAAAAGAAAGTAATTACAAACCGATGAAGCAGTTACAGAGCTAGGCAGTTTCAAAACCATAAATTTTAAAAAGAATAATTTCTCTTGTACAGTTTTTCCCTTTCACGTTCACCTTTGCTCAGGTTTGCGACTACACATTTTGGAGTTTGTTCCTCTGGCTTTGCAACTTGCCTCCTAATCAGGTCAGGAGTCCCAGGCACAGATGAAATGTGCCTTTACTGACTACAGGGAGCAAAGAACTTCTGAGCTCCCAGATTCTTTAAAGTGAATTCACTCCAAGGCAGATTTATGAGCTTAAAATGATAATGAAAGAGATTTGCCTGTTCAAAAGTATTGGCTGTCTTGCATTTTGTAAGGTTGAGTTCCCCATTCCTGTTTACTGCAACATCTACTGTAAAATTTATACTTTTTCTTTTTAATTTGTGTTTTCTTTGGAGTCTTTATTTTGGAAAGCCAGGAAGGGGCTCTGGTGTCAGCAGAATTGGTCTCTATTTTGTTTCTGCTACTGACTAGTCATATGACCCAGAGAAAACTACTAAAACAACTTTAGATGTATTATTTGAAATATAAAAACAATGTCCAAGTTAAATGATTATGTGAGTATTACACTAGATGTATTATTTATACAGAAGAAAGTGGTACAAAATACACTGTGTTCATTCTGTATTTCCCTGCTTTCTACTTCCTTCCGTCTATTCTCTCTGGAAAAAACAGCTCACACAGATAACTTCATCCTCAAGTTTGGAAGCACATGGGCAAATACACTTGTTGATTCTCTTGGGTTGAGATGTAGGAGGTCTAAGCAGCTTCTAACTAGAAATAAATATGGCCTTTTCAAAAAATACTTGCAGTTTTGGGCTATTAGGTGAAGCTCTGGATTTGGCAGATCTCTGCTGTGCTCTGTCTTTGTAATGACACAAAAGAAATGTGTAATTGTGTTGGTAAAGTGAGATGTGTGCTGAAGTGAATGGGCTGGTAGTAAACACATTCACTCAACAGGAGAATCCTGGCTACCTCTAAGTGCAGGTACTGAGCCAAGAATGGGAGCCCGAAGACTTAGCTACTGAACAAACATAATCAAGTGCTGGAAGTAAAACACAAATAACACCAGTGACATCCCTCAAGGATGCTGTTGTGTAGAGAGGGGCTGACACACAAAGGACACATGTGCTAAGTCCTATAACAGCAGCCCGCCCTCAGCACAAATGTTTGCAGACTCTCTTTGGCCCTAGTTAGAGTAGGATGTTGGGCGAAAAGGAATTGGGGAAAAACATCTTGTCTTTTAAAGACTGGTTAGGTACTGTACTGGCAGGAGAAACAAATTGAAGATTTGCACCTTTTAAAATTAATCCATATTTATAGTCCATGATCTTTTGAATGAGAGTAACCATATTAAAATATGCTTTCAGTCAATAAAGAAAGGTCATGAGCAAGGTGGACATTGAGAGTTCTGAATGCTACTGTACTGCCTGTAAACAGGCAGATAACTTTGGACAAAATTCTTCATTTCTCTATCATGTTTTTTCCATATCTGTAAAATAGAACATTAAAGACTTTTTTTTTACTACTTTCCCTTGCCATCTCTAAAGGAAAAATTTTTGGTTTGAAAATCAAATCATGGGGGAGAAACCCCACCCACTGCCCCTGTGCCATCCAGGTTGCCTCAGTCTGAAGGAACCCTGGTGCCTGGCCCATACCCCTGCGCTGTGGGTCAGGCAGCCAGCATGGGAAGTACTTGTGACATGGCAAACGTCTTGTCCAGAGGAATCCAGGGTAAAACCACTCTAATAAGGGGAAACATTTTCTATAAAAACTCCAAATTTATGATTTTTTTCTGTTATATAACTATAGACTTTACTTCTATGATTTAAGTACAAAATCAATAGTTATCACAATTGGTCAGTTTTTAAATTGTGCTTACTACTAAATGTACTGCTGTAGCTGGGATGTCATATCTATTGTAATCAGTTGTTCCCACTTGTGTAGCAATATTGGGAAGCTCTGAGATAAGAACTTCACCATAGCCCTACACTAAAAGACTGGGGACTGGGCCAAACAGAAACCAGCATCTCACTTTCAATTGGGAAGGTAGAATCTTGGGACAGACACAAACCAAGAATCTCCTACACAGAAGATATCCCTGAAGTGCAGACTATTCCTGGAGAGCCCTTGATATTAGTGATATAGCTACCTGCTACTAAAACTCACAAGGATCACCACAGAAAGCAAAATAAAAAAATTGGTCTTAAATAGAAAATGTCAGTATGAAGGAGCAAAATGCAGTCTCAGACCTCCAGGCCACCCAGAACAAGTCTAGAAGATGTCAACATAGAAGTTGGCAGTCACAACCTGAAATTTCTGAAAGGATAGCAACTGAAGTGAAGAAATAACTCCATCAAGCCATAGAAGAAATCAGATCAGAATTAATCTCTCAGATGAAAAAGAAATAACAAACCTAATGAAAGAATTGCACAGCACATCTAAAGAAAAAATGAAGGTGCATAGAAAAATGATGGAAACCTTGAATGAACAATATAGGAAAGAATTAGAATGCATGGAAACAGATTCAAAGAGATATACAGAAAATTAAAAATTCCATTAAAGGCTGGCAAAACCACTTGAATAAAACTGAAGATAGACTTTCAGACCTTGAAGATAGCATTGCAGCTAGCAATCATGAAAGGAAAGATCTCTTAAAAGTAAGAAGGAACCCCAAAATAACTATTCAATAGCTGCAAGATGATGCAGAGAAAAATAATATAAGACTGATAGGTATAAACAAAAAAAGCAGGAGTCAACACAAATGACATAAAAAGACTATTTGCAAAAGTAGTAACAGAAAATTTTCTAAGCACAGGGAAAGAACCTGACATACAGATTCCCCAATTAGCCATAACCAAAATAAATGTATACCCAGAGATACAGTGATCAAGATCCCAGAAATTCAGCACAAGAACAGAACATTAAAAGCTGTTAGAGAAAAGAAACAGATCTCCTATAAAGGAAAGCCCATCAGAATCATGGCAGACTTCTCAGCACAAACCAACATCAAGTCAAGAAGAGCTGGGACTGAAGTATTTCAGGTCCTGAAAGAAAACAACTTCCAACCCAGACTGATGGATCCTCCAAAACTATCTTTCAAAATTAATGAAGAAATAAGATTCTTCCACAACAAAGAACAACTGAAGAAATTGATGACTACCAAACCAACCCTACAAAGAGTGCTGGAAGATATTCTAGAAAGAGATGAAAATGACCACAACTCTAAGAACAACAATAGAAAGGAACCACAAAGCAGCACAAGCAATTAAACAGAGGGCAAAAGTGGGGGAACCAATAGCAGGAAAATAACATGACAAATATAAGCCAGTACATATCAGTTATAACCATGAATGTAAATGGCCTCAGTTCATCAATCAAAAGAAGTAGACTGGCAGAGTGGATCAAGAAACAAAATCCAACAATATGCTGCATACAAGAAACACATTTAACTCAAAAGGAAAATCATAGACTGAAAGTCAAAGGATGGAAAATGATACTCCATGTGACAGGAGCCCAGAAAAAAGCAGGGGTAGCTATCCTCTTTGTAGACAATGTAAACTTCAAACCAAGAAAGATCAAGACGATGAAGAAGGTCACTACAAACTTGTTAGGGGAAAACTGCAAAAGGAAAATATAAAAATCATAAATATGTATAAACCAAATATGGGAGTACCCAACTATGTAAGACAAATTTTAATGGACGTGAAAAATTAAATAAACAATAACACATTCTTAATGGGGGACATTAACACCCCATTGCCACAAAGAGATAGGTAAACTAGACAAAAAAATCAGCAAAGAAATAACAGAAGTGAACCAAACTTGTGAACAAATGGACTTAGCAGACCTTTGCAGTGTTCCACCCAACAATATTAGAATACAAATTCTTCACAGCTGGACATAGGATGTTCTCTAAAATAGACCATATACTAGCCCATAGAACATGCTTAAGTAAATGGAAAAGAATTGAAATTCTCTCATGCATATTATCTGACCCTAGTGCAATGAAATTGGAAATTACTTGCAAAAGAAACCACAAAAACTCCATAAACACATGGAAATTAAATAACAGCCTCCTGAATAGGTCACAGATGAAATTAGAGAAGAAATTAAACAATATTTACAATCACACAAAAATGCAGATACAATTTACTGGAACCTGCGGGATGCAATGAGAGCAGTCCTCAGAGGGAAAAGCATACCCGTGAATTCTCACATCAGGAAAAGAGAATGAACACAAATAAACAACCATATGCTTCACCTCAAACTTCTACAAAAAGAAGAGCTAAGGAAGGAAGGACATTATAAAGATTAGAGGAGAAATTAAAACAATGATGACTAGGAAAAAACACAAGGAATTAATCAATTGAAGAGTTGGTTCTTTGAAAGAATAAATAAAATTGATAAACAATCTTATCAAAAAAGGAAAGAAAAAACTCAAATTCATGCAATAAGGAATGAAAAAGGTAAATCATTACAGACCCTGTAGAAATTGAAAAGATCATCAATACCTACTTCAAAAACCTTCACTGTCATAGGATGGAAAAAACAGGAAATGGACAGATTCCTAGATACATATGAATTATCAAAGCTGAATCAAGAAGATATAAAATTTCTAAATAACCCAATATTAATTAATGAAATTGAAAACATGTTTAAAAACTTACCATCAAAGAAAATCCCAGGTCCTGATAGATTCACAAGTGAATTCTAAAAGAAATTTAGAGAACATTTCATATCAATACTTTTCAAACTCTTTAATGAAACTGAAAGGAAAGAAATTCTTCCTAACTCATTTCTGGAGGCAAGTATTACCCTTATACCAAAACCAGAAAAAGACCCAACCAAAAAAGAGAACTATAGGCCAATCTCTCTAATAAACATAAACACAAAAATACTCAGTAAAATACTAGCAAACAGAATGCAGCAAATCATCAAGAAGATTATACAGCATGATCAACTAGGATTCATCCCAGGAATGAAGAGATGGTTCAATATATGCAAATCAATAAGCATAAAACACCATATCAAGAAAGCCAAAGACAAAAACCACATGATCATCTCAATAGATGCAGAAAAAGCTTTCGATAAATTCCAACACTCATTCATGATAAAAACCCTACAGATAATTGAAATAGATGGTTTTTACCTCAATCTGATCAAAGCCATCTATAACAAACAAACAACCAATATCATACTAAATGGACAAAAACTGAAATCCTTCACTTTACAATCAGGAATAAAACAAGGATGTGCACTGTCATGACTCCTATTCATCATAGTTCTGGAAAAATTAGCCAGAGCCACTAGAAAAGAGACAGAAATAAAAAGAATAAGGATAGGGAAGGAAGAAGTGAAGTTATCCTTATTCACAGATGATATGACAATCTATATAAAAGACCCCCAAAACTCCACCATAAGACTCCTAGAATTAATAAATTCAGTAGCATAGCTGGATACAAAGTCAACACTCACAAATCAGTAGCATTCCTTTATGCAAATAACAAACAGACTGAGAGAGAAATTAAGGAAACCACACCTTTCACAATAGCATCCAAAAAATTGAAATACTTAGGAATCAGTGTAACAAAGGAAGTTAAAGATCTATAGAGTGAAAATTGCAATACTCTGAAAAAAGAGATTGAAGAGAATTTCAGAAAATGGAAAGATATTCTGTGCTCATAGATAGGAAGAATCAACATTGTGAAAATGACCATATTCCCAAAACTCTTGTACAGACTCAATGCAATCCCAATCAAAATACCATTAGTATACCTCACAGATCTAGAGAAATCATTCCTAAAATTCATCTGGAATCAGAGGAGACCTAGAATAGCAAAAGCAATCCTGGGCAACAAAGCCAAGGCAGGATGCATCACAATCTCAGACTTGAAATTATACCACAAAGCTACTGTGATAAAATCAGCATGGTACTGGCCAAAAAACAGGCCTGAGGATCAGTGGAACAGATTAGAAGACGCAGACACAGCTGCAAACACAGTCAGCCACTTTATCTTTGCAAAGGGGTGAAACAAGTTCATTGGAAGAAAGATAGCCTCTTAATAAATGGTGCTGGAAAAACTGGCTTACCTCATGCCAAAGACTAAAACTAGACCCATGTCTGTCACTGTGCACCAAACAAAAGTCAAACTGGATCAAAGGCCTAAATATTAAAACAGAAATACTAAATCTACTGGAAAGAAAGTAGGTAGAAATCTTGAAGATATAGGGGTAGGCAGAGAGTACTTGAACAAAAACCAAACTGCACTGGAAATACTTCAAAGAATCAACAACTGGGATCCCATCATACTGAAATGTTTTTGCACATCAAAAGAAATCACCAACAAAGTAAAAAGAAAACCCAGTAATTGGGAAAAAATTTTAGCCAACTGTCCCTTGGACAAAGGACTTCTATCTAGAATATATAAAAATTAAAAAATTTAGACCCCCCCCCAAATTCAAAGACCCAATCCAAAATGGGCATCTGAGGTGAATATACACTTCTCAGATAAAGAAATACAAATGCAAGTAAATACATGAAAAAACATTCAACATCATTGGTCATTTGAGAAATGCAAATTAAAACAGCACTGAGACTCCATCTCACCCCAGACTGGCTATCATCAAGAAAACAACTAAGAATAATTGCTGATGAGGCTGTGGGGGAAAAAGGATACCTTCTCCCCTGTTGGAGGGAGTGTAGACTGGTACAACCACTGTGGAAATCGGTCTGGAGATTCCTCAGTAAACTAGGATTAGAAGTCCCATTTTACCCAGCTATTCTCCTCCTGGGTATTTTCCCAGAAGGTCTGAAAACATCATACCACAGCAATACATGTACACCCGTATTTATAGTAGCACAATTTGTTATAGCTAAATCTTGGAAACAACCCAAATGCCCATCAACTGAGGAATGGGTGAAAAAGATGTCATATTTTTATACAATGGAGTATTACTCAGCTATAAAAAAGATATACTTGAGGCTTTTATATGTAAATGGATGCAACTAGAGACCATACTCATAAGGGAAATAAATCAGACCCACATGTTTAAACATTGTATTGTCTCCCTAGTGTAAGAAACCAAAAGATTAAATAAAATCTGAAAGGTACAATAGATATTATAACAGGGAAAGAAACTACTAAAAAAGAAAGAACAGCAGGGTATGGTGGCACACATCTGTAATCTCAGCACTCTTGAGGCTGAGACAGGAGGACTGTTGTGAGTTTGAGACCAGCCTGGGCTACAAAGTGAGTCCAAGACCAGCCTGAACTGCATAATAAGACCCTGTCTTAAAAAGACAAAAAAAGAAAACAACAACAAAAAAAAGCAAAACAATGAAAGAAGGAAAGAACTGGGATGAGGGAAAGGACAAAAGAAAGAAAGAATGGAGGGAATATATATATGATAGCCAAGATAACTGCAGTACTAATTTCTATTGGTTCCTTGAAAGGAATAGTTAATGTTTAATTTTTTTGATCAGTTTTACCTGTCCATATCTGGTAATGTGAGCAATTACTTTGAAGATAACAATATATAATATGACAACCATTATTGATTTCCTATCATCTTGTTTTGAAATTTTATATCGTTTAAAAATTTTTAACATTTTTTATTCTCTTTAAAATAAAATAGATGAATGCAAAAAGAAAATCAATAATGGGTGCCAAACAAAACAAAAACATGTGAGTTTAAAGGTGGGAGAGAATCCTGGTGGTGTGCAGGGTTTGGAGTATAAGAAGTAGATGTAAACTCTTTGGAAACTATGAAGTTTGCTACAAAACACAAAGTACGTTCATAAAGATTGGTTTTGTCTAGTCTTTTTGCAGAAAGGAGACCTGATCTACTGAGCTAAACCATTGTCCAACAGGAAAACCCTGTACTTAACTGACCATTCCATACCTAACCACCTATACTTAAATGATCAGTTCCAATCTCTTTTGAGTCAGAGAGACCTGTGGGTAATCTGCTGATAATATAATCCATTAGAATTTCTGTCAGTTTGCAATTTGATTAATTAGCCTTTCTTATCACTACCCCATTGGCTCCTACTTTTATTATAGTATTTCTTATCACAATGGCTGTATAGTATTTTGGGTTTCCCAATGCCTAGCGTTCTTATTTCATTCATATGCTGAGATGAGGTAAATTTAGAATCAGTGAAAGTCCCTTGCTTGTGATTCTCCCTGACACCTTTGCAACTTTGTGTTCTTACAACTTCTTTGCTTGGGCAGTCGGGGGATCTCTACTTTACTCTGGTGCATCAACCCTAATCAAGAGTATCTAGAAGAGAATCACATTCATTCTCAAAGAATGCACTCTCCAAGTATAATATCCCTCCTCTGCAAAGGAAGTTTCTGTTTCCACTCTGAAAGAAACCCAGGACACTTACCTTGTTAGCACAGAGCAGATAGTTGGACTTGAATTATTTCTCCAAGTTGGAAAGCCAAGAGTGTGTTTGTCTGTAAACAAAAATAAAAGCAAAACAATTTGAAACTCAGATTCCTTGGTTTTCATAAAAGAAGAATAAACAGAGTGCTGATTTTGATCAAAGTGCTCCTAGTAAGACCAAAACAACTTATTTCCTTTCAAACTAGCGATAGCACAAAGTATTCTTTAGGGAAAAAAAGTGGTGTAGCAACATGGTTTTGATACTTCAGGTATCTCCAAGGAAATTTAGGTGGCGAGTTGGAATACAGCTTTTGATTAGAAAGACATAAACAGCTCCTACCTTTTACCCTTACCTTCCTAAAAGTCAAAGTTCAACCAATGTCCCAATTATAAGAGAAGCGTGTGGTAAGCACTGCTGTTGTCATTGTTGCCTTCAGAGGGAGCCAAATCACAGCCTGTACAGCGAGCTGAACCGTCTGCGTCCCAGAAATGCGCTTGAACAATCACAGCAACTGTCATAAAGGAGACAGTAGTTTAGGTGAGTAAGCATTTCTATGTCTGTGGTCTTCTACTCCAAAAATGTGATTTTAAAGTTCAAGATTTGGGAGAAATTCAAACAGATTGGGCCAGCAGGGGGAGCTAGTAAACTGAGTTTGAGAAAGCATAAAGCTATTCTTCGATATTCACCCCAGGCATCAAAAGAATGGTTATGGAAGCAGCAGTAGCCATCAATTTTACTTTCTCCACTGAATGTGTGAAGCTAAAATTTAGACCATCTTAGGTTTTGTGTTTAGGGATATTTCCTGAAGTTTCTGAGCCAGGAGTCTTTAGTCATATCTCTGCCTAATATACTCTGTGTACAACCAAACACACAATGATGCCCTCCTCAGAGTCACAAGACTTGCAGCATTGTTCCAAGTCCAAGGCAGTCTCCTCTGATACTCAAGGCAAACTTTCAGTTGTGCACTGTAAAATCCAGAAATATGTTACTTAGTACTAAGATGCAATGGGCAAAGATAAACATTCCTATTTCAAAAGGGAGGAAAAGAAGGTAGAAATGAATTGGAGCAAAGCAAGACCAAAGTCCAACAGGTCAACCTGTAGCTCCATGTGCAGCATCTGGGGTACATGGCAGCGAGATGTGAGTGCCAAAGGGTTTTTGGCAGCCCAGTTGTCCGCACATGGAGTCTGTCTCTCTCTCTCTCTCTCTCTCTCTCTCTCTCTCTCTCTCTCTCGGGTCTCCCTATGTAGTTCCTTTGAAACCTGGATGTAAGGCTTTGTGACCCCCTAACTTTGGATTCTGGTGTCTGGGACCTGCAAAACTGGTACCACATAGATGATAACTGTAATTGAATCTAAGTGCTTGGATGGCTGAGTGCATGGAAACACTTTCCTGGTCAGCTCTGAGTTAGCAGGAAACCCTAAGTTTCACTTCTTAAAGCAAAGGCATCAAAATAAATATATACTTTCATCCTTTTAAGCCTGCAGTAGGTGGAATCTTTCTGATTCTTGTGATGCACTCAGAGCACCTTTCCTCTTCTCTAGATACAAAGTATCTTGCTGCTTTCTAATGGTGGTAGTCTCTTCAGTAACCACAACTCCTCTGGCCCCAAATTCACACTTTTTTTCTGGCCAAACTGAACATTTTTCAAATCGTTCCACTCTGCTGTTTGCATCTAATTCTCACTAAAAATCTAGCCAAAAGCAGCCAGCAGTACTTGTACAACAGCCTAAATAAACAGTGGGCTGAAAATTTCTCTGTTAGACTGATTTATCCATCGCCTTTTTTTAATTTTAAGGAGAAAAGAACACAAACAAAAAAACAAAGACAAATACATAAACAAAACAACACAAAAACAATGCAGAATTTCAAACAAGGTGGTAGGAAACTAACAGTGGTTGCTGTATTACATGTTGTTATCTTCAAATTAGTTACTCAGATAAACAAATATAGGCATGTAAGATTGATCAAACAATTAAACATTAATTGTTCCTTTCAATAAAACAATAGAAATTAGCAGTACAATTATCTTAGCTATTGCGTGTTTTTGTGTGTTTGTGTCTTACTTTTTTCTTTATTTTCTGTTTTCCTTCATCCCAGTTGTTCTATTCTTTTGAGCAGTTTCTTTCCCTCTCACAGTATCTATTGTACCTTTCAGATTTTATTTGCTTTTTTGGTTTTTTACACTAGGGAGACAATACAATGTTTATACATGTGAGTTTGATTTAATTCACTTAGGAGTGTTGTCTCTAGTTGCACCCATTTACCTATAAAAGCCTCAATTTTATCTTTATAGCTGAGTAATATTCCATTTTATAAAAATACCACAACTTTTTTATCCATTCCTCAGTTGATGAGCATTTGGGTTGTTTCCAAGATTTAGCCAAGAAAAACTGCACTGCTATAAACATGGGTATGCATATATTGCTATGGTATGATGTTTTCAATTCTGGAAAAATACCCAAAAGGGGAATAGTTGGGTAAAATGGGACCTGTAATCCTACTTTACTGAGGAATCTCCAAACTGATTACCACAGGGTTGTATAAGTCTACACTCCCACCAACCATGGAGAAAGTTTCCTTTTTCCTCACAGCCTCTCCAGCATTTGTTACTGGTTGATTTCTTGATGATAGGCATACTTTCTGGGATGAGATGGAATCTCAGCATTGTTTTAATTTGCATTTCTCAAATGACTAATGATGTTGAAGATGTTTTTCATGTATTTACTTGGCCTCTGTATTTCTTTATCTGAGAAGTGTGTATTTATTTCAGATACCCATTTTTGGATTGGCTCTTTGAATTTAATTTTTTAAATTCTTTATACATTCTAGATAGAAGTCCTTTGTCTGAGGGAGAGTTGGCTAAAATTTTTTCCAATTAGTGGGTTTTCTTTTTACTTTGTTGGTGATTTTTTTTTCTGTCTTTTTGAGACAGGGTCTCACTATGCAGTTCAGGCTAGCCTTGAGCTCATTTTGTAGCCCAGGCTGGTCTCCAACTCACAATGATCCTCCTGCATCAGCCTCCCGAGTGCTGGGATTACAGGTGTGTGCCATCATACCTGGCATGCTAATTTCTCTTGATGTGCAAAAACTTTTCAATGAGATGAGACCCCAGTTGTTCATTCTTTGAAATATTTTCCATGCAGTCTGGTTTTTGTTCATGAATCTCTGCCTACCCCTATATCGTCAAGATTTGTACCTACTTTCTCTTCCAGTAGATTTAGTGTTTCTGTTTTAATATTTAGATCTTTAATCCATTTTAACTTTAGTTTGCTACATGGTGATAGACATGGGTCTAGTTTTAGTCTTTGGCGTGAGATGAGCCAGTTTTTCCAGCACCATTTATTAAAGAGGCTATCTTCCTTGCAGTGAACCTGTTTGGGTCCTTTGTCAAAGATAAAGTGGCTGAGTATGTTTGTAGTTGTGTCTGCATCTTCTAATCTGTTCCATTGATCCTCAGGCCTGTTTTTTTTTCCTGTACCATGCTTATTTTATCACAGTAGCTTTATAGTATAATTTCAAGTCAGGGATTGTGATGCCTCCTGCCTTGCCTTTATTTTCCAGTTGTTTTTGCTATTCTGGGTCTCCTCTGGCTCCTGATGAATTTTAGGAATATTTTCTCTAGATCTGTAAGGTATACTAATGGTATTTTTATTGGGATTGTCTTGAACCTGTATAACAATTTTGGGAGTATGGCCATTTTTATGAAGTTGGTTCTTCCTACCCATGAGCACTGAATGTCTTTCCATTTTCTGAAATTCTCATCATCTCTTTTTTCAAAGTAGTGTAATTTTCACTCCATAGATCTTTTACTTCCTTTGTTACATTGATTCCTAAGTATTTAATTTTTTTGGATGCTGTTGTGAAGGGTTTTCCCTATTTTCTCTCTCAGTGTGTTTGTTATTTATATATAGGAATGCTATTGCTCTTTGAGTGTTGACTTTTTTTTTTTAGTTCCAGGAATCAAACTCACGACCTCGTGTTTGCTGGGCAGGCGCTGTGCCACTGAGCTACATCCCTGGCCCTGAGTGTTGACTTTGTATCCAGCTATGCTACTGAATTTATTAATTCTAGGAGTTTTTGGTGGAGTTTTTGGGGTCTTACATGTAGAGTATCATGTCATCTGTGACTAATGATAAGTTCACCTCTTCCTAAAAAAAAAAAAATTTCAATCACTTCAATACACCCACGGAACAAGAATATGTAGTCTTCATTTCCCCTGGACTTACTGCTCAATTATACCTCAGTGTCACAGCAGCGCTGTGTTCCTGACACAGTGCTTCCATCTTATCTTATCCTTTGTACTGACCTGAAGCCGACCTAAGAGTCCTTTCCTCTTCTGAATTTGAATCATGCTTTAATGTGGTCTTTCTTGCTTTATGTCCTTTCTCCTACTGTAAGAGTGTTGTAATGCTTCTTGGTTGTATTGGGTAGCATGGGGATAAGATTTTAATTGGTTATTCTTGAATTGCTTTTACAAAAAACCAATTTTATAGTTTTTAAATTAAACAAAAACATTTCACTTCTTCCTTTCCTATCCTTATTCCTTTTATTTCTCTCTCTTGTCTAATTGCTCTGGCTAATGTTTCCAGAACTATGTTGAATAGGAGTGGTAATAGTGAACATCCTTGTCCTGTTCCTGGTTTTAAAGTGAAGGCTTTCAGTTTTTGTCCATTTAGTATGATATTGGCTGTTGGTTGGTCATAGATGGCTTTGATCGGATTGAGGTAAAGACCATCTGTTCCAATTTTCTGTAGGGTTTTTATCATGAATAAGTGTTGGACTTTATCAAAAGCTTTTTCTGCATCTATTGAGATGATCATGTGGTTTTTGTCTTTGGCTCCCTTGATATGGTATATTACATTTATTGATTTGCATATATTGAATCATCCCTGCATCCCTTGGATGAATCCCAGTTAGTGATGGTGTACAATCTTGTTGATGATTTGCTGCATTCTGTTTGCTAGTATTTTGCTGAATATTTTTGTGTTTATGTTTATTAGAGAGATTGGCCTATAGTTCTGTTTTTTAGTTGGTTAGTTCTCTGGTTTTGGTATCAGGGTAATACTTGCCTCCAGAAATGAGTTAGGGAGAATTGCTTCCCTTTCAATTTCATTGAAGAGTTTGAGGAGTACTGACATTAAATCTTTTCTAAATTTCTTCTACAATTCATTTGCAAATCCATCAGGACCTGGACTTGTCTTCATTGGTACATTTTTAGTCACATTTTCAATTTTGTTAATTGATATTGGATTATTTTTATATCTTCTTGATTCGGCTTTGGTAATTAATA